CCTGAAATTTCCCTCCCTTTCATGAACTAGGATCACTTCCTAGTAGACCCTTTCATATTTCTAGTGACCACTTCTTAAGTGTTTACAACATTCTAGGCACTGAATGTAAGCTTGTCACATGCTTTCTCACACTTCTTCATCACAATGACCCTACAAGGAGGGTATTCTTTTTTTTTTTTTAAGGAGGGTAGTCTTATGAGCCTCATTTAAATGAGGAGAAATCTGAGTACAAGTAATGATAATAAATAAGGTTAGTAAGGTAAGAGGTGGAGTATTCTCCCAGGTCCCTTTTCCTAGCTGTGTGACCCATGGGCAACCTCTCTGTGCCTCAGTTTTCTCATCTATAAAATGGGGACAATACTAAAGTATTTTATTGGGTTATGGGGAAGATTAAATTAAAACAAGGATGTAAATTCATTTTTCAAGTATCGATAACCTCTGTTTTCAGCATTGGAGATTCTTCAGGGAACAAATAAAGACTCTACCCTTACGGAATCCTTTCCTGACTCCCCAGGTACCTCAAGTTCCTGTTATAGTGAAGATGGCAATTTATTTAATGATTTTTTTTATTGTTGATTTATTTGTTTAATCTGAAGCCCTGTTTAATCAGGCTGTGAGCTCCCTGAGGGCCTGGTATTGTGAAGCATAGACCATTTGACAGACCCCCCCTTTTTTTTTTAAGATTTTATTGGGGAATTGGGGAAGGGGAACAGCCAAGTTGTTGTCCTTCAGTCTTCGTTGTGGAGGGCGCAGCTAACTCAGCTCCAAGTCCAGTCGCCATCCGGCCGCCTGTTGGTAGATTGTGGCCGCTCAGCTCAAGGTGCTGTGTTCAATCTTAGTCGCGGGTGGGCAAAGCCCACCAACCCATGTGGGAGTTGAACCGGAAACCTTGTTAAGCGCACACGCTCTAACCACTGAGCCATACGGCCACTGGTGGGCAGCTCACAGCAGCTCAGCTCAAGGTGCCGTGTTCAATCTTAGTTGCATGTGGGCATAGTCCACCATCCCATGCGGGAGTCGAACTGGCAACCTTGTTGTTAGGAGCAAGTGCTCTCACCAGCTGAGCCATCCTGCCACCTGTTGGCAGCTCAGTGGCAGCTCAGCTCAGGCGCAGTTCACTGGCCCATGTGGGAATCGAACCAGCGACCCTGTTGTTCAGAGCTTGCACTCTTAACCAACTGAGCCACTCATTTGGCCCTGAGGGCCCTCTTTAAACATACAAAATTATAAACACAAAGCCTAGTTTGGGAGTGAATATTTATTTGGAATGAGGGAAAAAAATCACAACTTTTAATGTTTAAAAAACTGACAAGCACATTTCCAGTGGCACAGAATGGAGTGGCCAATATGCCCACGTTTTACTGTCACTACTGCGATATATACCTCAACCGTGACTCTCCATCTGTGAGAAAGACACACTGCAGTGGTAGGAAACACAAAGAGAATGTGAAAGACTATACTATCAGAAATGGATGGAAGGGCAGGCTCAGAGCCCGGCTGACAAAACCACCGCAGCATTTCAACAAGGGAAGATACCTCCTACTCCATTCTCTGCAGGGGCAATGATCCCACCTCCCCCAGTCTCCTGGGTCCTCCTCGCCCTGGTATAATGCGAGCACCCCTTATGGGGGGCCCTCCTCCTCCTGAGACGATGCCTGTGGGACCTGCTCCTGGAATGAGGCTGCCTATGGGAGGCCACATGCCAATGTTGTGGGGGCCCCCAATAATAAGACCTCCCACCCATTCTCATGATGGTACCCACTTGGCCAGGAATGACTCGACCAGACACATAAGGGGGGAGCCTCTTTCTATAAGTTTTTTTTTTAAAGTTGCAGAAAAGGAGTTTATTAGAAGTAAAAATACATTTCAAAGAAACAGAAGCGGGCCCGAGCAATAGAGAATGGCTCAAGGGCCATTATTAGAAAAGAAAGTACACTCCAAAGAGTTTGGAGTGGGCTGAGCAAAGGAAGCTCAAAAGGCCTCTTTCTATCAGTTTTATATAACTTGTTCTATTTCACCAGGAGATTCTGGATGTTTTCTAACAGCATAACAAGGAAGGCTCGCTTCCCGTTCCTATCAAAGAGAGAATAGTTTTGGAAGGGAGTAATGGAACCAAAAAAAGTTTTTTTCATTTGTATTGTGAAATGTGAAAATAATACTGTCAACTCTTTTAGTTAAGGGCCTGCCAAGTGGTGCTTTGGTTAAGAGCTGGCTTGGACGCCAGAGGGCCCTGGTTCAGATCTCATATATGAGGGCCAGTGACACTGCCCTCTACAGCTAAGATGCTGAACAACAGCTCAACCTGGAGCTGGGCTGCCATGAGTCGTCGGCGACGGCGTAGGCTGCAGCCCCTGTGGCAGTGGGTTGCCATGGGCTACCGTGTGTGGCCAGCAGCCAGCGTGAGCTGCTGTCCAGAAGCCGGCGACTGCTCTGCCTCGTCCGGGAATAGCGCAGTGATGGTACCAACTTGGGCCAGTGAAGCAATGTCCTCCACAACTAGACTGAAGAACAAAAGGACAGCAACTTGTCTGTTCCCCTTTCCCCAATTCCCCAGCGCTGTTCCCATCCCCCAATTCCCCAATAAAAATCTTAAAAAACCAACAAACAAAAAAAGACACAAAAAAATGACAAATACCACAATGTAAATAAAAAATAACAAGAAATTGTTATTAATCAACTGCCTGGCACTCTTCTGTAATACTTTTTTCTTACTTTTTTGGCTGCACACTCTTTTATCGTTTATGTGACAATGGTATATTTTCTACAACAGGACTAGAAAGATAATTCAGTCTTTCCTCCAGCATGCTTGATCAAAATTAGTTTTTTATTAGTGATCATTTAGATTTCTTTTCCTTCAGCTTTGCAATTCATTATTAGTAAGGTTATTTATACACGTAAGGATTTCTTGTCAAACTTGTGATTACCTCTTCACATTTCTTACATATGTGAGCAGTAAGGTTTGGAAGGATTTTTCCCCAGACTAACTTCTGGCTTCATACATTTTGAACCTTATTTCTCTTCCAGTACCCTCACACCACTGGAGCCAGGCATAAGAATGATCTCTGTCCTGTACTTTCATATCACAACACAGGGGCAGACAGCACAGTGGGCAGTAGTATTCCTGAAGCCATTCTGGGGCATCCAGAAATAATAAAACCTGTAAGGAGGTAGGACGCCATAGGTGTGTACCCCCCAAACCCAAACCAACGCCCCCTTAGCCAGATTCCATAAATGCCTGTGGCCATAGGACATGAAGAGATGAGTGATGGAGGAGATCAGGCAGAAAGAGGCAGTGGTCTGAACTGACTGTGGTTAAAATATCTCACGCTTGCAAATATTATAAAAATATATAATCCCACGCAAATAATGTATCCTAAAGTTTAAGCATTATGAGCTTCATGGTAAACCCATTCCTGCCGAAGGCCAACTTGAGTCCTATCAAGGCTCCCCAAGACGCAGCCTTGGACATCATACAAAATAGGATATCAAGATTGCATGAATGTCAGCTCTAGAAGGGAGGGCCTTAGAGAGCTCCGGCACCAGTGGTTTAACCTTCTTCTCGAGTCCTGGGACTCTGGGTTGGGGTCTCAAAGGCTATTACTGGGGACTTCTTGAAACAGTGCACCTCTATTTAAATAACGATGATGACACTAAGAGTCATCATTCAGCCTAACAAGCACTGGGCACTTTACTATGTGACAGGCACTATTCTAAGTACCCAGCTTGTAACAAGTTACTTAACCCTTACAACATACCTATGAAGTTAGAACTATTATCCCATTTTTCAGATGAGGAAACTGAGACTTGAAAAGTTTCAGTTTTGTAAATATATATAGGTTCCATGTAAGACACTTTTTTTTTTTTATAGCTGAGCCATCCTGCCACCTGTTGGCAGCTCAGCAGCAGCTCAGTTCGGGCTGGGAATTGAACCTGCGACCCTGTTGCTCAGAGCTCGCACTCTTGAGCGAGCTCTTAACCAGCTGAGCCACTCAGCCAGCCCTTTAAGATACCTTTTGAAAAAATCGTTCTATTAATGACTATTTTTGAAAGAGCTTGAAATGGTTCAAACCCCTTTTTTTTCACATGGGGAAGTAAAACCTAGAAAAAGGGAGGTCATTTTCTCAATGCCATACATATATTCTTATTTTCTGGATGCCTGCTCTGTGCCAGGCACTATGCTATGACCTAGGGGTTCAGAGAGCAACAAGACACTCATGGAATACAATTTTAATGGGGGCCAATAGACAATATATACAACACGATATAAATAACCAAAAACAATTCCAGTGAGTGCTGATATAATCGATTTGGGGAGATGTGATTGAGTGACAGGGCAAGTCTGAATTCGGATAGGGGTACTCAGGGAAGTGTGGTCTGAGGAGGTAACATGTGATCTGAGACCTGAATGACCTGAAGAAGCCAGCCATGGAACACTATGGGAAAAGAGCACTCCAGGTAGAGGGAATTGTGAGTGCAAAGGTCCTGAGGCAGGAATACTTTGTAATAGAGCCAACTCCTGGTCTGGTCTCCTTTACTACTTGCTGCCTCTCTAGGCGCTCAAAGACGTCCCTTGGTGTCCCGGGCCTCCCTTAAGCTCAATCCCTACGATGCCGATTTATCCAGGAAGGCCCCAGCAGTCTGGGGCTGTTGAGCCTGCTCCAAGAAGCCCTGTGGCTGAACTGGATCTGAGTTTCCTGGTTTCTGTCTGGCAAGGGGTGAGCAGACATTCCTCCCCGCTCCTCTGCCTTCTCTCCCCAGGCTCCAGCCCCAACCCCAAATCTCCATGACAACTCTAGACACAATCCTGATTTGAAGGAGGATCTGGAACGGGGAGCACAAAGATCACTGGGACGAGACCACTGGAGCTAGCTGACTTGCCTCCCCTTATTCATTGTATCTTGTAAGCTTCCCAGCTGGCCTGGCCCAGCCCTCATACCCTGGTCTCCCCTAAACTGAAGATTCTGCAGGTCTGCCCTGTTGCTGGGCACAGCAGCGCCTGGATGGAGGCCTGTCTTCTGCAGCTGCCCCAAAGGCTGCTCCTGCTGGGGGCAGCCGCCCTGGCTGTGTCTGCGCTGGAGACAGGTGAGTATGAAGGGACTTGGCAGGAGATTCTGGCCCCACCACCCTTAGAGATTATGTTTCCCCAATCAACACTCACTCTGATGGGCTAGGAGCCCTTGAGTCGGGGGCGGCTGGGAAACCCTGTGCCTGGTCTCGCTTGGTACCCCCAAGTTTATCCTAAACCCCTCTGGAGCTCCAAGTCACCCAGAAGCAGGGGTCTGGAGGAGTGATGGGGACAGCCCTAGGTCGGGCAGTGGAAACACTGTGAACTTTGGGGTTAGACAACCCGCATTCACATACTCACTCTGCCTCTTCCTTCATTTCTACCACTGAGATCATTGTTTCAACCCTCTAAGTCTCAGTGTCTTTAGCAGTAAAATGAGAATAGGCCTTTACCCCTTAAGACAATTTATTATCATTCCTATAAGGAGAGGTACACCATGAAAGACACGGCCTGGCACACAGAGAGTGTTCGAGTCACTCACTCTCTGCACCTCACTCCATCCTGCTGGCATGCTGCTTCTTGATAGCTGAGGGAAATCAGGGTTCTTCCAGCAAAAAGGAACAGGGAAAGGCTGCTGGGTGGGCTGGTGCTGGGCTGTGTCTCCTCCATCCGTAAATAAGGCAGTAATAATAGCTAACACTTCTATAGCACTCACTAAATGCCAGGCACTGTCCTAAGCACTTCACTCGTTGTGCATGCCCACAATCCTTTGGTTTCAGCTCCAACATACAAAAAGCTGTGGAAACCAAACCTTGTTCCTAACTAATTTATTGGCAACACCTGACCTGAACTGAGGGGAGGCTGTTTATCGTCTTTGTCCTGCTTAGGATAAATGTTCCTACAATTGCTCTAGAAAATGTAATCATGGAGGGCTGCAACATAATATACTGTACATACATTATATTATCTTTCTAAAATCTGGAACATTCTGAAATACATCCTAGGGTTTTTAAATAAGAGACTGAGGATTTGAATTAAATTAAATTATTTAATCCTCACACAAATTCTGAGATTGCTTAATCATCCCCATTTTACCGATGAGGATACTGAGGCTCAGAGAGGTTGAGTGGCTTACTTGGGGTCGCACAGCATGCAGGGGGCAGAGCCAGGCTTGGCACCAGGCCAAGTGGCTCCAGGGTCTGTGCTTTTCGCTGCAGCCGACCTGGTGGACCTCTGCGGGCAGACATTGCAGGGGGACGGGCTGCTGCTGCTGCGCTCACACTCCGCTTCGCGCAGGTTCTAGACTTCGTGGTTCCGGACACTGACTGCAGGTTCTGGGTGCGGGCGGCGGCCCCCAGCGACAGGATCCGCTTCCAGTTCTGCTGCTTCTTGGTCTACACCCTGACCTCGGCGTGTCCAGCAACCCCAGCGCCCAACGCCTCTTCCCTACGTCTGCCCACGCGTGGGCCCGCGGCTCCTACCTGCAGCTCTACAAGGGCCCGACGGGGGCGCCCCGGGCCCTGGGAGCCCCACTCTGCGGCTTTACCATCCCTGTCCCGATGGAGTATTCTGGGGACTTCCTGGGCTTGCGCCTGGTCACTAGAGGTCGCCATCCCTCCGTGGACTTCGTGGGCGAAGTCACCTCTTTCCGGTTGGGTGGGTTGGGGCTGTTGGCCAGGACTGGGGCCTCCAAGCTGGGGGCAACTGCTGGCCTGGGGCCACCAATGGGTCTCTTGGGAGCACTAGAAGGTGGAGGGGGCTGGGTCCTCAGGAAGGGAAGGTGGTGACTGATGGCAGGGTTGAGAGGGTCATAGTAAAGGACCTTAAATCTGGCTTCCATGGGTGAGTACACCAGACCACCCTGTTAGTCCCTGACACACACATGCTCCCACTCACTCATGCGTTCACACACATCTCACATTCTAACACACACACTGTACATGTACACAACTGCACACCTTGCACACCCACACTGTGATGCACAACTCGCACACCTCACCTACTACACATTCACTCACAATTCACATCACACACCTCATACACTCACAGTACCACCTTGTACACTTCCACACAACTCACACATTCATGTTCACACATTGGCTCCTCTGTCCCGGGTCAGCCTTTCAGATGATTGCAGAGGGGCCGAGTTAGGACTGTTGATTGTAAGTGACAGAAACCCACTCAAGCAAGGAAAGAGAACTGATATTAATGACAGTCACTTAATAAGCATTGCCTTTGGCCCTTCGCATGTCGGATCTCACCTATTCCCCACAGCAACTCTGCTGTGCCAGTGTTCTTATCCTCATATTTATAGATGGGAAGTGGGTTGGGGGAGGTTAAGGGCCCTAGCCTCCCTGCTCACAAGAGAAACAGTGGGGCTTTCACTGCTAAAGTATGTCCTCTGGCTCAAATTGAGGTCAAGGCTTTAGTTTCAGCAGGTTCCCCCAGGATGGGAGACACAACTCACCAATGTCACAGCCAGTGTCACAGCAGAGGCTGTGTCCAGTGATAACAAGCAGGTGAGCTGCTAAAGTGTAGAAGGTTCCAAAATCACGCAGTAGCTTTATCACCATCTCTGGCTACATATCCAGACTGGAGAATTAAACATGAGAGCCAACATAGATTCACTGAGAACTAGACTTTGACACGCCAGGCCCTGGACAGCCCTTGAACACTGAGCTGGTCGGAAGCACCCCCATGCTGTCTCAGTTGTCTCTGTAGTCAAGTCCCACCGTTCTTCCCTGGAAATGCGCATGGTCTGAATTTTGGATTTTAGATTCCGCTTCTCTTCCCCATTAGAGTCTCTGGCTCTGGAGGAACTATATGAAACTGTACCCTAAAGTCTTGGGGCCATGACCAATGGTGCCTGGGGTCCCCTTCTGGCTCCTGTAGGTTCCTATTATGTTGTTTTGAAACAGCTTTCACTGGCTGATTGGAAATCAACCCCCCTGCCTCTTTCCCCCCCCCCGTGGCCTTGCCCTCTTTTGAGGTGCAGCTGTCAGCCAGAGAGGCCAAGAATGTTGCCACTGCTCTGTGTTTAGCAGGATTGGGCTCCAAAAAGAAGGTGGCAGTGGTGAAGCCATATCACAGCCCTGGCTTCCTTGGATCAGTTTTGTCATGTGAATGAGGAAGGTTCATTTCACCTCCTTGGGTCACACAGTCTCAGTCGCTCCCACCCGCAAGCCTACCCTCCCTGGCTCCTGCACACACTGGCATTGACAGTCACATATAATTCTCCATACATGACGACCATGCTACCAGTTCTCTCTCATAGACATTCATTCTTACACCTACATACTTCCTTTGTTATTCACTTTCATTTGCAAATGATGGAATCCCAACTCAAGTTGGCTTAAGCCAAAGAATTTTGGGGGGCTCCTATAACTGGAATATTAAGTATAGCTGGATCTAGGACTTCAAGGAATGTCACCGGGTTCAGTCTCTGTTTCCTTCTCTCTCTTTGCATTGTGTGGGTCTGTATGGCTTCCATTTCAGGCAGCTCCTCTTTCTACGTGGTAGCAAGGTGACCCTGCAGCTTCAAGTCCAAGGTGACCCTTACAGCTCTAACCTCAATGAAACAGAGAGTGAGCATCTTTTCTTATGGTTTTAGCAAAAATCCTGGTGTCAAATCTGGTTAGTCATGGCCAGGAAATGGATTGCTCTGATGCCTATGGTCACCTCTGAGCCATGGTACTGGGCAGTCCCATCTGAACCAGCTTTTCTCCACAGAATGGAATGCTGGGTGAGACAACCTATCTCCCACACCCTTGCACCAAATCATACAATTCCTTCATCTGTGTATATCTTCATTCATTTAACAAATATTAATTGAGCACCTGCAATGTGCCAGGTACTGTTCTAGGCTCTAGGGATATAGCAATGAAGATAAAAGACGTCCCTGCTCTCTTTGAGCTGACATTCTGGTGGAGCGGGGACAGACCAAAACCAAATAATCAAGTAAATCCATATTCTGCCGAGGTAGGATGCTGCAGAGGAACCCAAATCAGGAAAAGGAGGGTGGGATTGCTGGGGGAGGGGCGGTGTGCTGTTCTTACATGGAGGCTAGGAAAGGCCTACCTATAAAATGATACTTGAGCGGGGACCTGAAGCGAGTGAGCCATGCCGTTACTTGCGGAAGAGAATACCAGGCAGAGCTGACGGCAGGCGCAATGCCACGAGCGAGGATTAGCTTGGAGGTGCTCAGGTTCACGGGGACACCCTCGGCTGCACGCACGCACTCATGCAGACACAGTCACAGCCACGTGTGCCACAGTGTTTATGAGCGTGGGACTGAATTCCTACTCTGCCACTCAGATATGAGTAGTGCAGCCTTGGTCAAGTGACCTAACCTCCCTGTGCCTCAGTGTCCTCATCTCTAAAATGGGGTTAATAACAGTATTTACCCCATAGGGCTATGGTGAGAACTTATTGAGCTCGATGTGAATGAAGTGTTTAGAACCATGCCTGGCACAGAATAGGAACTCAATAAATGTTGGCCATCGTTGTCATGATCATACACCCGTCTCCCATGCAACTCTCATTCATATATATTCTCATCTGCATGCACATGGAATCAGCCCTCTCCTGCTGATACCTCCTACATTGCCTCACTATAGGGCCACACATCCCGCTGCGTCATGGGCTGGCCCAGGGTCCTTATAACATGCCTCCCTTTTTGGCCCCAGGATCCTGTGGTGCCTACTTCCGCTGTCAGAATGGTAGGTGCATCCCCCTGAGCTTGGTGTGCAATCTCTGGGGCATGGACAACTGTGGTGATGGCAGTGACCAGGCTTCCTGGCCACCAGCCAACTGCAGAGGTCAGTGATGGATGTGACCTTGGCCCTGCTGGGCAGCTAGGTGGGAAGCCAGGCCTAGGTCCCCTTCCCCAGGGGAGAGCCTCAGTGGGGAGGCCAGAGGCAGGGGCCCAGGAGGAGATAATAAGGTGAAGCACAGTGGTGGGGAATCGGTTCAGACCAGATGACCTGAGGATGAGAGCAAGTTAGAGCCAGAATAACACTAGAGATGATCTAATCCAGTTGCTTTCAAATGGCATTTTAGTGCTGAAAGCTTTTCCTAAAAGGAAACTTGCAGAGGCCCAAGACATCAAAAGGAGAGATGCTCTATTTAAGTGGACATGGGGGACTCAGGGCCTGGCCAACTGATGTCCCACTGAGGGACCTGACTTTGACTCTCACGCCTTAATTTGAAATCCATTGATCCAGGCTGATTCCCACATTTTACAGATGGGAAAACTGAGGCCTAGGAAGGAGAAATGACTCTATGGCCCAAGGTCATAACCAGTGAGTGACATAACCAGGCATGACCTCTGTGGACAGGGACACCAGAGTAGGTCACCCAGGAATATCCTTGGGAGTCTGGAGATGTTCCTTCTCCCAAATGGGGCTGGCAAGTACTGTAGAACAGGTTGTTCACTGCAAAAAACACCTGGCTAAGGGGTGAAATCCACTTCCCAAGTCATTCCTTGGTCTCCTTTGCAGGTTCCTTGTTGTCTCCCTGACACTCTGTGCTTTGTGCCATGAGGCCCGTTCCTGTGTCTGCTTCTCCTCCATCCTCCACACCCACTCCCTCGGCGGTCTCCTTTATAATGTATCGCCAGCTGGACTCGTCTTTGAACTCTAGTTACATAACCACTTCCCTACTCATCTCCACATGGATGTGCAGGCGGCATCTCAAATTTAACTTGGCCCTAAACTGAACTCCTGATCCTCAGCCCTCCCCATGTCCTGGTCCTCACCGGTTTCCTCTTCTCACCCAAAATGTTGAGTCACCCTTCACTCCTTTTTCCAGCCCATAACTAGGCCATAAACACTAATGCAGCTGATGTTTTTCCCATGATAAGACTGAAGTTGTGGGTTATGAGAAAGATTACAGAGGTAGAATGTCATTTTCATCACATCATGTCAAAGGTACATACCACCAACCTGATTCATGACTGTTGATGTTGGCTTTGATCACCTGGCTGAGGTCGTGTTTGTCAGGTTTCTCCACTGTTACCCTTTCTCTTTCTTTTCTTTCTTTCCTTCCTTCCTTCCTTCCTTCCTTCCTTCCTTCTTTCTTTCTTTCTTTCTTCCTCTCTCTCTCTCTTTCTTTCTTTCTTTCTTAAGATTTTATTGCGGAATTGGGGGAGGGGAGCAGACAAGTTGCTGTCCTTTTGTTCTTCAGTCTAGTTGTGGAGGACGTCGCTTCACTGGCCCATGTTGGTATTATCATTGCACTCTTCCCTGCTGAGGCAGTCACTCGCCGGTCATTGGATGACCGCTCATGACGGCTCATGGCCGCTCATGCTGGCTGCTGGCCACTCACGGTAGCTTATGGCACCGCCCCACAACTTCCCGGCCAGAGGAGCCTTTTAAAACACTGAGTCAGGTCATGTCATTCCTGGGCTCAGAAGCCTCCACGCTCCTCACTCAGCCAAAGCAAAGCCTCCCAGGGGCCCGCCCACCCTCTCGCTCCCTCAGCAACTGCACACTGGTCCCCAGCAGCTCCTTCTGTGCTCATCTTGTCCTGCCTCTGGTCTCTCCTCTGCAAGGAAGGCGTCTGTGTCCCCAGAGATTTTCATGCTCATTCCTTTGCTTCCTGCGGGTCTCTGCTTAACCCTCTCAGTAAGTTCTCTCCTGACCCCTTTATTTAAAAATGGCAACCCTGTGTCTATGGACGGGTGAATGGATAGACAAAATGTGACGTGTCCACGCAATGGAATATATTATTCAGCCCTAGAAAGGAAGGAAATTCAGATACATGCCCCATGGATGAAACCTTGAAGACATTCTGCTAAGTGAAATAAGCTAAACAGAAAAGAATAAATACCGTATGATCCCACTTATGTGAGACCGACGAGTAGTCAAAGTCATAGAGACAGACAGTAGAATGGTGGTTGCCAGGGGCTGGGGGCAGAGAGAATGGGGAGTTGGTTTCGTGAGTATGGAGTCTCAGCTTTGCAACATGAACAGTCGGAGATGGATGGTGGTGATGGTTGCACAACAGTATGAATGTGCTTAAAGCCACTGAACTGTCCACTTAAAAATGGTTAATGTCTTATTGTGGTTTATTTCACAATAAAAAAAAAAAAAGCAACCCTGCCCCTCGCCAACATGGCCCTGTCCTTTTACTCTGCTTAATTTTTCTCCATAGCACTTAACTCCGTTTGACATGTTTTGTGTCCCCTCACGCTAAAATGTCAGTTCTATGAAGACATTTCTATGTTGCTCACTGTCGTATCCCCCAGCCCCTAGAGCGATGCCTGGGGTAGAGTAGATTCTTGAGAAATATGAGTCAAATGAGTGGAAGAAAGAGCCTCGTTATGCCTCGGCTTCCTTATCTGTAAAATGGGGGTGATACACCTAACCTTTCACGGTTGTTATACACTTTAGGTGAAATATTGTAGGTAAAGGGCCCAGCACTGAGCACCGTGTCTGGTGCACAGAAAAACACTCAGTACCTGCATATCCTTCCTGAGAAGTAGCTCCACTCATAAACCCCAGGTCCTGGAGCTAGGCTGCATGAGTTCAAGTCCTCCCTTATCACTTCCAGCTGCATGACCTGGGCAAGCGCCTTAACCTCTCTGTACCTCACTTCCTTTATCTAAAAAATGGAAATACTAATAGTAACAAACTCAGAGGGGTTTTGGGAGGACTCAAGGAGGTAATCATGCCCTAGAAGGGGCAGTTCTCAGTGTCAGCTTGTTATTTCCCACTGCAGGTCCCTCTCTGGTGCCCAGCCAAGCGGGCAGTATGGAGGACGATACTTCTAAGTCTCCAGCTGTCTCCCCAGCTCTCGGGTCGGCAGGCCCTCTCCAGATTACAGCTGAGAGCAGCCCCCCAGCAGGCCGGGCCCCTGTACAACAGGATGCAGTTGTGGAAGGTAGATGGCTCTTGGTTACCACCGGCCCCACTCCTCTCATCAAGATCACACTTGTCCTTTTCCAGGTGATGGGGATGGGGGCAGCAGGCCCCGGCCGAGGCCTGAATGGACTCCCCCTTTCCTTCCGCAGGTCCCTGGCTACAGAGGGTGGCGCTGACCTCCTCGCTGCTCCTAGTCTCTGCTGACCTCCTCAGGGGCCTCCTCAGGTGCTGTTGCTCCTCCAGCTGGCTGACCTGGTGGGCTGGTGCCCGTGGCCTCTGCCTTGGCTGCATCATCTGTCACACGTGTCCTGGCCAGGTGGCCCTTGGGGGGCTACAACCAAGCGGGCCAGGCTTCCGGGGTCAGGGAGGCCATCCCTGGAGAGGCTGCGGCTTCAGAGGAAGGACAGTGGGCTCTGGGGTCAGACAGACCCTGGGCTCTGTCCACACCCTCCAGAGGGCTGGCTGTCTGACTTTGGGAAGGTTACGTTAACCCTCTGAGACTCAGTCTGCTCCTCTGGAAAATGGGATGATTCCTGCCTCATGGGGCTGTGATGAAGACCACAGGAAGTAATTGGCCGTGCAGCTCACGTGGGGGCTGGTACTCTGCTGGTCAGTGAGGGCAGGACCTCCATGCCCAGAGCAGGAAGCAAGGGCCTCGCTCACCTGAAGCTGCCTTGCTGCACTCCCAGACACACCTGCCCTGCTCTGCCCCACCTTGGCCCATGCTCAGGTTCCACCCAGTCAAGCCCTAGTTGAAGACACAGGGGACCGCCCTCGCGGGGATAGCACCGTTTATTAAGAAAGATCAAGACAAAGACCATAGGAGGGTCCCTTCTAGGACACAGAGGCCAGGCGTCCGGACCCCACATCCGCGGGCTGCTGATGGGGAGGACGCTTGCCCACATTTGGGCCCTCAGGCTCCCACAGATGGGGCAGGGCTGTCATGGCCCCTTCCTGTCCTTCCCAGTCATGAGTCCTGGCTTCCCCCACCCAAGGTACTAGCTCTTTCCAGCTACCAACGCCCTCCTCCCCCCATATCCCCTGGGCCTTCACTTCCAGATCCGTGGGGGGACGTGGCCTGGTGCAGGAGAGCCTCTCAGTGCTGGGCTCTGCCTGGAGCAGCTCCTGGTAGGACTTGGGATGGAGTTTCCCTTGCAGCCCCTGAGGGCAGGGGCCCTGGGCTAGGTGTTGGGTGGGGGGGATGCAGACCAGGGAAACTTGGTGGGAGGTGGAGGCTGCCAGGGGCAGGTGGCCCAGCTGGCCAGGTGGAGGTGGAGGTGGAAGGGGACTGGGACATGGGCTGGCGGGGGTGGGGGCTGCCTGCCCGGGATGAGCTGCCTTTTGCTCCACAGTTGGCACTAGAGAGCTTTTGCCACCGAGAGGAGGGTGGCAAAGCCCATTACAACGCCCTCTGCTCCCTGTGGCTGGTGAGGCTGTAAGCCGAGGTTGGCTTTTGTAGGGACAAGGGCTGCAGAAATGGGTGGCCCAGCTCTGCCTTGGGGAACTCTGCTGGTAGGGGCACTTCTGAGCCCACTCAGCCACCATGCCTGCCCCCAAGTCCTGGTGGCCCTCTGAGGCACCTGCTTCTATCCTGCCGGCCCTGCCCCCAGCCTGTGGCTTTGCCCAGGTGTGTTTGTGTAGGGGGTGGCGTGCCCACCCTCCAGTCGAGCCCAGGGCAGTAGCAGCAAAGCATGGCATCGCCTCAGTTTCTTAGAAAATATTCATAATAATAATATTAATAATAATAAACTTGACGTTGTGGGATTGGGGCACAGCCCAGGAGTCCATGTGGAACAGGCAGCTGCCTATGAGGGGCAGGGGCGTGTGTTGGCCCCCGCCTGGGCACCGTGCTGCAGGTCCAGTGGCTGTGGGGGTGGAGTGCCAGGCCGGGCACAGTGCAGCACCAGGTTCCTGATACAGCCCGTGATGCCTGAAGAGAACCTGCCCCCAGTCAGCAAGGCCACATTGGGGGCTCCGCCTGTGGGAGGGGGAGAGGACGGCCTGTGAGCTCCAGGGGCCCAGGAGAGGGGAAGGCGTGTGCTGTAGCACCACAGGAGCCCCACTCCCCGCCTTGTCTGGAGGAGGGGACTCCAGGCCTGAGGCCTGAGCCCAGGACTTACCAATGTAGATGCTGCCCTTGGTGTTGACTGCCACGTTCCGGCCTGGGGACTGGCCGCTGACCAGCTCCTCACCGTCCACCTGGATGGAGCCTCTCCGGCCCTCTCTGTGGTGGGTGGAACTGGGTCAGGCCCTTCACCACCAGTTCCCCATGCTCTTTGACCCAAGCAAGAGTCCCCTCCCTTTTCTATGAGACTGCAGACAGAGAAGTCTGCTCCCTGAGTTCTTTCCTTCGCCACTGGATGAGAGATCTGGCCTCTACCCCCCATAACACAGCTTCCTAGCACTCATCCAGGTGTTCATCCACCCCCTAGGATGCTTGTCTGCCCATCCCCATGGAGTTCTGTCCTGCCCTGCAAGTCTGTGCTTGGCTAGTGGGCTTTCCCCGACCCTGGCTTCAAGTTGTCTTCCCAGAGCCCAGTGCGTGCCTTCCCCACACATAGTGCGGGGGCGTCCTGTCCCACTCCACAACTCTGGGCCCCTCGCCTTAGTGCCTGGGTGGGCTCCCTTACCTTAGTGCTGTCACCCGATGCCACTCGCCATCATTGATGGGGTCCTCAGAGACAAGGCGGGCCTCCCCACTGCCAAGCTGGTAGCTGCAGTCACACAGGCCCAGGAAGGTATGAAGTGGGGCAGGGCAGGAGGGGGGTGTGGGAGGGTGGTGGTGGTATGTTGCTGGGGCACTGGGAGCTGCAGCTTCTTGTGGGAGGAGCCATGGGGCTGACCAGAGGGGAAGCCTCAAATGAGGGGGTGAAGGGGGCCAGGGAAGGGAGAAGACCCACCTGAAGACAAGGTGCCCGTCCTGAAGCCCAAGGCTGATGAAGTCCTTGCTTTGGCCGGCCTCTCCCACCTCCTGCCAGGGAAGCACAGGGTCTCTGGGGTCCCCAGTCTGGAAAGCCCAGGCCCCTGATGGCTGTGTCCTCCGCCTTCCTCTCTCCTACTGCCCTGGTCACCAGGGGGCTGGGAAACCTAACACTCTGGGGCAGACCCCACACTCACCATGCCCTGCCAGAGCAGGAGGCCACTGGCCGTGCTGGTCCGGACCTCCAGCTCAATGGTCTCAGGGATCTCGGGCAGGCTGTCGTGGGGAGCGGAGAAAAGTGGGTGAGAGGGCAAAAGCCCCAGATTCCCATCCCCCTCTGTGCAACCTGTCCCTTCCCTGGGCCCACAGGCTCTCCCAACACCTGTCTCACCTCCGGGAGAAGGTGTGGCTGGGGAGGGCTAGGAAGCCGTCATTGTAGAAATAGGCTCCGTACTGTCCTGGGGCATCTGCAGGGGGAAGGGGGATGTCAGACATCTGCTTACCTGCATGGAACCTCCATCCGGCATCGGTTCCTGCCCCCACCTCCACCCCAACATGTAGGACTATGGGGCTGTGAACCTGGTCCCTGGAGACACAAGGGGCAGTGGATAGAATTCGGGGGCCTGTGAACTTAGATAGGACATTATGGCTCTATGTTCACTCACTTCTCCCTGAAATTTAGCAGTTCCTTCAATTATGCATGTAGGCAAGAAACCAAAGGAGTGGCGGTAGGACCTGTGACTTTGTCACGAATAGAAGATTTCCTTATCAAATTACAGTAGGTGCAAATATCCCAAAATATCACTGACGCTTACTAAAATTGTGCTAGCTATTAATTAGATCTTACTATTTAATGTGTTAATAAACAAGTACATAGGTTACAAATGAGAAAATGTAAAATGTTTTGATGATCTTATTTCAGTATAATTGGTTTCCTTTGAAATCCTATGTATTTTATTTTATGAAGTCAATAGGGTCCAGGTAGGGTGACCAATCATCCTTCTCCACCAAGTCCTTGTCCTGGTTTTAGTTCTGAAAGTCCCACATCTTGAGAAACCCCTCAGCCTTCAGCAAACCAGGACACTTAGGTCTGTGGCACTTAAAAGGTAGACAGGCTTGGGGTGGGGCGGGGGGTAGGGTGAATTACTTGCCCAGCAAGTGGGAAGCCTAGATGATGGCAACCTGGACCTTTCGGCTCCAACGTCCATACTATGTGTGGCCCCAACATCCCATAGGCCAGCGCTGGCCCCTGCAGGCCTGGCAGCTACAAAGGCCGGGGACACTTTGCCACCTGCCACCAAATGATGAGGAGAACGGCTACCATTTACCAAGCACCTACTATGTGGCAGTAACTGTGCAGGGAGCTTCATATCCTATAAACATCATTTCATTTAACTGGATCCTTACAATAAGGACTTAGATCTAATAACAAAAGCTAACATTCTGTACCCACTCTGGACCGGGTATTGTTCTAAGCGTTTTAAATGCATTAAATAATTTTACTCTCACACAAAAATGTATTTAAAGCCTTGTGGAAGGATGTTAACGTCTCTTCATTTTATGCATGAGGAAACTGAGGCACAGAGCGGTTAAGTGACTTACCCAAAGTCACACAGCTATTAAGAGGCAGGGCTAAGATTTGAAGCCAGGCAGGTTAGCTTCTGAGTTCATGCTCTTACCCACGACACCACTACCTCTCCTATTATATTAACGATAAGTAAGAAGATAAATATCTATAAAGCAGTTAGCATACTGCCTGTAAATGTTCAATAAACGCTCATTTTTAAAATTATCATTGCTTTGAAACGAACTGTGGAAACCTTGAGAACGAGGATCCTGCCTTATTTATCTATTTACTGCTCCCAGGACAAGGACGCGTACACACCAGATGTTTGTTGACAAAATGCATGAACACAGAGGAGGAAACTGAAGTCAGAGTGGCACAGGGGTCTGCCCAAGGTAAGCATCGGGCGGGACCCAGCTCTGTGTGGCTGTGCTCTTCTTCATTCTCTCTGTACCCACTGAGCCTCTCACATGGACCTGTCCTGCTTAGAGGCCAGAATGGAGGGTGTGGGGTAAGTGGAAGATGGGGCTGAGAGGACAAGCCCGCTCAGCTTCTCTCGCTGGTGGCTACAAACACGTACCGTTGCCCCCGCTGCCTTCAAGATGCCAATCGGACTCCGCTGTGCCATGTCCAGAGCCTGTGGAGAAAGGCAGGGTTCAGTCAGTGAGTACAGACACTCATGAGTCTTCTGTCCAGCTCCAGGGCCCTGAAAGGGAGGTGGGGGGAAGCCGGGGCAGTTACCTTGCTGGCAGCGTGGGCCAGAAAAGCCGGGGGGACAGAGGCAGTGGGTGCCCTGGCAGGTGCCCCCATGCAGACAGGGCTCACGGAGCTGGCAGGGGTTCTCTTCATGCTCGCAGAGGTCTCCTATGGGCCGTGGCAGAGGTGAGTGGGCAGGGGCTGGAGCTGCCACTGACCACTCTATGCCCCTCCCGCCCAGGACCTGGGCAGGCTTTCCCACCTTTGAAGCCGTCTCGACACAGGCACTGGAACTCATACTCGCCAGCAGGCAAGCATGTGGCACCATTCTGGCAAGGCTGGCGTTCACACGGGGAGCTGTCATAGCACTGCCCGATGCCCCGGCTGCCCAGAAAACTGTAGGTGAGGTCCAGCCGCTTTCCATTCACTGACACCTGTGGGCAGAGGGACACTCAGGACTGAAGGGATGTAGGTGGCAGGGGCATCGGTGTACCAGCGGAGAGAAGAATGTAGTAAAGGGTA